GGACACGTCATTGGTGGGACATGATCTGTGGACACGTCATTGGTGGCACATGATCTGCGGACACGTCATTGGTGGGACATGATCTGTGGACACGTCATTGGTGGGACATGATCTGTGGACACGTCATTGGTGGGACATGATCTGTGGACACGTCATTGGTGGGACATGATCTGCGGACACGTCATTGGTGGCACATGATCTGTGAACATGTAGGAAGGATCCCCCTAGAGCTCATGTCCTCCGATGACGTGTGTTGGGTCCGAGGTGGTGACGTCACTTCTGGTCCCGCCACTGGAAGAGGAGAGGACCAGCATGGAGGGTCACATGATCGCAGAGGATAACATTGAATAAAGGTGATTGGGCTGAAGAAACCGTCACATGGGGACCCTCTGGGCCGTTGGGTATATTTGACCTAAACTTCTACTTGAGGGAACACCAGACCATATCATTGCTCGGTGGATGGTGGGGGATGGGTGATATAAGGGCAGAATTATGAAAAGTGCTCCAGATAGAAGACAGACGACGTAAATGTCCCCACGTGGTGACAGAGCCGGTGACGGTGCTCCTCCTTCTCTTCATATAGATGAGGAGATACAAGGCCTGAGACAGAGCGGGCCTTCCAGGAATATATACGATGAAGGAACCGGCGTGCAGAGGAAAGTGGAGTCACTCCTCCTCCTGATATCATTATGATGAAGGGAAGAGCTCCTCGGGGGGGCTCGGGTGGTCCCATGGTGGCCTCCTTCATCTCTGATTGATCAGAGGCTCAGTATTGGATCGGTTCTTTTCCCGTTCTCCGTGTCCTGTGGTCCGGTTTAGAGTTTCTTCTTCTTTAGACACAATATAAATCTGGATCGGACACCAGAACCTGTGGGGTGGGGGAGGGGAGGAATGTCTTCTATTGATCTCCAGTGGCACTTCTTTTGTTGGAATGACATCCCTTCCCTTTTCTCTTCCAGGTTACATCACTGAATATATCACCCCCTCCGTCTACGACGGGGACAGCGATGGCGCCATCAAAGTCCCCTCTCCAGACACACTTTATACGGCAGTGCACAGTGAATATGGAGCTCCTGACTCAGAACCACCAGACAGCCCACGCTCAGAGATCACCGAGGGCTACATCAATGGAGACGCAGCAGTCAGCGACGGTTACTCCGTGGATGCCTTCTTCATCACAGACGGCCGGTCGCGTCGCAAGGTTTTGGCCGCAGGCCGTGCCATACAGAGGCACAGCTGTAGCGAGTGCGGGAAGAGTTACGCCACGTCTTCCAATCTAAGCAGGCACAAGCAGACTCACCGCAGTCTGGATAGCAAGCTTGCCAAGAAGTGCCCCACCTGTGGCAAAGTATACGTGTCCATGCCGGCCATGGCCATGCATCTCCTCACCCATGACCTCAAGCACAAGTGCGACACGTGCGGCAAAGCCTTCAGCCGACCGTGGCTCCTCCAGGGCCATATGAGATCCCACACCGGGGAGAAGCCCTTCGGCTGCGCCCATTGTGGGAAAGCCTTCGCCGACCGCTCCAACCTCCGCGCGCACATGCAGACGCACTCCGCCTTCAAACACTACAAGTGCAAACGATGCAGCAAGACCTTCGCGCTCAAGTCATATCTCAACAAACACTACGAGTCGGCCTGCTTCAAGGGGGCCGTGCCTCCGCTCAGCCCAATGGAAGATTGAGGGCGGTACCGTCATCACCATCCCGCACTTGTTATGGCATACTCTGGTCACTCCCTTCTCCTTTCATCCTCCCTTTCAGGGGCCACGTGCCGGATCTCATGCTGCCCACTCCAGCCACTTTCTCCTTGGATGGTGACCATTCCTCTTCTCCACTTTGGTCGCTGGACGTGTTTGGTTTTCTTTCAATGTTCTTCCAAAGGCTGTTTGAGACTTCTCGCGGGTGGAGTGTGGAGGAATCCCAAGCAATTGTCTTACAGAGTCACGCACAGGACCTTTATGATTAATATTTACTTCTCGTTTATCCAATCATTTTTAAGTCGAAACTATCAGTCATGGGAGCCAGGATGGGGTGGGGGCAGGGCTGTAATGCGCTACTCCTGTTTTTTAAGAATAAGTCTTTGGGGTTGTAGGGAACAGGCAGTGCAGAGGTCTTCATGGAGTGGTCTGAAGGATCCCCGCTTGGTGGGGTTGACGCAGTTGATGAGACGTGCGTTTTAGTCTTTATGGTTTTACTCTGAGTGATATCGGTCCCACGGTGCAGGTCATCCTAACCAACAGACACGTGCTACCTGCAGCAATAAGACATATGGGTAGTATGGGGTCATAATACGAGAGGATTCTGAGGAGCAATAAGAGTCTCACCAAGGGAGCTGTAGGTCATTGAGTGAGGAGAGGGCTTTGATGGTGGAGTCACATGACTACGTGTCTTGTACATACTATATACAATTCTATTTATTTCTTGGTTTTTTAGTCATTGAGGAGCGTATCTAAAGCAGCATCATGTCGGCCCATGTACCTGGGAGAAGTCCGAACAATAGTAGTGGTAACCTTATGCTGTCAGCGCTACACAAGTCATCGCTAAGTCTGGTCCATCTTTCTTCACCACACATAGCTGTATAGAAGGGAGGAGACACTTCCATACTCACGTAGAATCCTCAAACTTTACTGGAAAGGTTATTCCTGGTCATTGGTGGAAGTCCATGTCCAGATATGTTGTTGGAGGTCCCCTGATTTCCAGCTAGACGTTCCGGTCATCCGGTTCATCTTGGAGGCCACGTGTCTGGAGATCCAATTGCCACATTTTTTTTTTACCTGAGATCCAGATTTCTTCTGACATTGCCGGGGCCTCCTATGTCCATATCTGCACATCTGGGTATTCCAGTTCCTTGGTGGAGGTCCACATATGCAAAGCTTTAGGTTCGGTATCCTAAACCTTTGCTGATGTTCCCGGCCCTGTTGGTTGAACTTCCAAATCTCTCAAAAAAACAATTGGAATGCCGTATATTTCGGTTCTCACCACAGTCTATGTATTCCATTCTCGGATGTCCTTGTATTACAGCTCCGTGGTTCATTCATTGAAGTCCGTTGCTGACTCTCCAAGGGGTGACCCGACCCAAATGTAACACAGATATTTCTGACCACTACTCAGGATCACAGTCTGCAAGACTTACAGAAGAACCACACTAAGGATATCTAAACCCAAGGACAGAAATCTTATCTCCTGAAGCTTACCAGTCATTGGATGTGGTGGCTGCATTCCTTTTTATTTTCAGGCCAAGAACATTTGTCACCAAGCACAAGAAATATCTGTTGATTCTGCCGGAAATCTAGCGTCCTTGCCACTTCCTGTGAGCTGAAAGCATAAACAGAGTCATCTTTCTACTGTAGGATCTACATTTGCCCCCATGTAATCCAGCCATGTTTGGAGTCCAGCCTGGATGACAACCATGTCTCCCTCCATAGATAAAGGAGTGAACGTTGTCACTCTAGAACAGGAAGTGTGTTACCAGCAGGATTAAAAGCTACAAATAAAAGGAACAAAGCCTGACAAAGGAAAACGAATGCAGCCACCACATCTAGGGGCTAGACTTCTCCTTGGGCTTACATCAATAACTGAACATAAATTCTTATTTATTGGTAAAATGTCCGGTTTTTCTGTTGTTGGGGTATCACCGGGATCCCATTCAGAGCCTGTCCTCTGGTCACAAGTTATACCATTTTACCGATAAATGAAGAGTATGTTTCATTATGTCAGGAGCACCGTGGCTTTCCCTGGTGTCAGTCTACCTCCAACCACACAGGCCTGCTTGTCTTTCATGTCCGTCTACCTCCAGGCTCCACCACATTCATCTTTTCTGCTTCCACCAGGACAATCCTCCACCTGCTTCATGGCAATCCTCTACCTCCACACAGACAATCCGTCACCTCCTTCACACCACCCCACCTCCACGGGCCACAAGGAGGGAGATAAATCACCCGTCCAAGAAGTTCTCATTTATTTCTAGTGATGGGGACTTCCATTGCTGACCTCTTCTGCTTGTATGGAGAGGCAATTCCTTATGGCCCCCGGTGCTGTGCCACCTGGCCAGCTCTCCATCCAAACAGAGGAGCACAGTAGAAGAAGTTAGTGGATCATGGGAATGGCAAAGTCAAGGCGAGGCTTCATTACATCGGGGATTTGTCTCATCCTGCACCCCTCGCAATTCCATTCTTAGCGTCTGGAGGTGCTGACCTCGGCAAAACTCCAAATACCTCAAGAATGGACATGAATGGCAGCAGTAGGTTACGTTCCATTTTCTGATATAACACATAGATGTGTGTCACTCATAGTCACACCAATAGAATGGTGACCAGGTGTTTCCTTGACTAATACCCCCCAAGTTCTTTCTTTTAGTCTTTAATGTGCTGCTTCGTGTGGGCAGTCATATCTGGTGTAGACTGAAGAACTCTGACATCAGTCCTCGGGTCAGTGTTTGGTTAGGTAGGACTCTGAGGTCATGACTTGGTGTTATAATCTGGAGATCTGGAAGGTGTTTGCTGTTGTTGACCAGTATTGTATGTCAGAGACTACCTGGTTCTATCATCTGACGTATCTGGTCGGTGTTATAGATCAGCTGTCAATGATTGACCAATAATGAAGGAATGCAGTATTGACCAGTGATAAACCCATAATGCAATGCTGTAGGACAACAGAGATGGGCAGTTTTGGGGACACCAATGACTGAACAGTTTTACGGGTATGAAAAATCCCGTATTGTAGGTATAGAGGGGACGCGGAGGTTGTCCATGATTGCAGATAGGGGGCTCATTCTGACTATACTGCATGCACATGTATACCAGACCACAGCTATAGTTTTGGTCAGTGACTGACAAATGTTCTATATAGAATCTGCCCTGTATTGGAGGTGTGGAGGTCAGTGATTGATCAATACTCTAGGTGGATGGTGACCTCAGGAATTAACTTATGTAGGAGTCCTGGCAGTCATTGATTGATCAATACTCTAGATGGGTGGTGGCCTCAGGGGCTGACCACTGTCGGATGTGGAAAGGTCAGTGATCAGCCTGTACATGAGGAGGGTAGTAACCTCAGTAGTTAACCTGTGTATGAGGTCTCTGGCTGACCAATACTTTCGGTGGGTGGTGGCCTCAGGCGCTGACCAGTATTAAGGTGGGAAGGTCGGTGATTGACCAGTACTCTAGATAGATGGGTGATAACCTCGGTAGTTGACCCGTGTATGAGGTCTCTGGCTGACCAATACTCCCGGTGGGTGGTGGCCTCAGGCGCTGACCAGTATTGGTTGAGGAACGGTCAGTGATTGGCCAGTACTCTAGGTCGGTGATAACCTCGGTAGTTGACCCGTGTATGAGGTCACTGGCTGACCAATACTCCCGGTGGGTGGTGGCCTCAGGCGCTGACCAGTATTGGTTGAGGAACGGTCAGTGATTGGCCAGTACTCTAGGTCGGTGATAACCTCTGTAGTTGACCCGTGTATGAGGTCTCTGGCTGACCAATACTCCGGGTGGGTGGTGGCCTCAGGCGCTGACCAGTTGTAGGTCTGGGTTGATCAGAATGGATTTCCCCAGTATTCTATAACTACGCCAAAGCATAAGTCACTTTTTTTGTTCAAAACTATTTTAAGATTTAGGCAAAAAAAAATGAAATGGTCACATGGTAAAAAAAACCAGAAACGACTTGACAAAAAAAAAAAAACTTAGGGACAGAACATGGAATTCGGGGTTTGTGATCCATGTCATGATTATTTTGTGGGGGTTTTGCATGCCAGAGTTTTGAATCTATGCCAATTTTGTAGGGTTTTTGGGGGGTTTCTGCCAAATGTTAGAGCTTAGTTGCAATATATTCCTGCAAGGAATCCTATACTTAACGTAAAGCAATAATAATAATAATAATAATGATGATGATGATGATGATATTAATAATCACAAAGTAATGCATGCTGTTTCTAGGAGATGTGGCGACTCTGAGTAATCGGGTATTGCCTCACTTATTCTTGTATCAGGGATTTACTGAATGATATTTGTGTTTTGGGGGAATAATACTCTCCGGGCTCAGCACTGCATGTGACGCAGGGAGAAGGGAGCGCGCCATTGGAGGCTTCATCTCCGGACAAAGTGCAAATGTTCATCCAACCTAATGCAATAAATCTGTCCCATCCGTTCCGAGACAGACCACATGACATGAGCACAACCAGAGTGCAACGCTTTAGATACCGTTCATGGCCCACTAGATGCAATGAATGTGTCCCTTGTAATGCGGGGAATGATACACATGTGCCTATTGTTGGTTGCCCCAAAGTCCAGCAAGAAGACCTCAGGCGGCTTCTGGAATTGTCCGTTCTAGAAGAATACTTGTCCTCGGTCGGCCCCGGTGGAGGCACGGGGTGAGACTGGACACTTAGCTCTCTCCATGTTCATCCACAAATGACACTCGATAGCACTTTCGTCATAACTTCGGTGAGGGAACACGGGACTTGCCTTTCCTAAACCCGTGGCCTCCTATAATAAAGGATGGAGGAGGTCTTCTTCACTCCGTATGAGGTGGGATATATTTGTAGAGCCAAAGACAAGGGGCACATGGAAGCCATCGCCCCCAAGCGCCCCCCTAATTTATCATAAGAGCTTCAGACATTTCAACTCTTCAAATCTACATGACAGTTTCCTGAGGACAGTAACGGGGGAGGGTACACATGGTCTCAATGACGGGAGCCCAGGGCGGGAAAATCCGAAAGCTTCATT